GGTCGTCGTCATCACCGCCACCCCGCCTGCACTTGCCAGCTGCGCCCTTAGCCGCTCTTGGCACCTCACCGACCCACTCCTTGAACGCATCGTAGTTGGTGGTATCCTCGTCCTGTGGTGGGGGGGGGCAGCAACATCCAGTGCTTACGTTCAAGGTAAAATATCAGGGTAAGACCCAATAAGCTGCCCTGACATTGAAAGTTGACATAACCCATCAGCACCCCTCGACCTTGTTAAACATGCTCCCCAGGTTCCAAACTGCTAGGTTTTCTACCTGGGCAACGCCCGCCTCGCCCTGCCTGGGACCCGTGCCGGTGTCCCCCCCTGCGGTTGCTGCTGCTGCGACGCCTGCTGTGCGGCCGCCACCCGTGCCACCATCCACGGCATGCGTGCCCATGGCAGCAGCCTCTCCGCCACCCACCGCCTGTTCGTGGTCCCCAGCGGCTGCTCTCGCTGCTGCACCATCACTGTCGTTAGCCGCAGTATCCACTGCCTCAGCTCCCACTGCGGCTGCCACAGCACCGTGGTCTGCAGTGATAGTCGACAGTCGTAGGATCTTGTCCAAGACCTTCTTCTGAAACTGCGTCATGAAGTTGCTGGTGGCGGTCGCCTTGCCAGGCGCGGGCCCGCCGATGGCCAGGCCCTCCTGGCTGATCCTGAACAGCCTTTGAAGTAATACATTGCATTCTTCTCATTGAACATGCTAGCTGATATCATGTTACCTCCCAGCTCAAAACTAAGCGGTATCACGTTTAGGCTCTGATGTTCATAGGAATCCCCTAAAGCACACCGGAGTTCAATACTTCCGGGAAATTCTTGTTCCATTTTCCAGCTTATGGAACTATAGAGTTGCACTTGTTCAGGTCAAGACGGCGTGGAAGCTATTGGTCCGTCCTGTATCCTAGAGTCGTGGCTAGTGTAAACTGTATCAGGTATAACAATGGAATACAAGAACATAGACAGCGAGGCAGGTCATGATAAGACTTGGCTGATGACATGCAAGTATACAAGTACGGCGCCCATACTAGAATACCGCCAGCTCGCCATCAGTACTATCTCTGCGAGGTTCGCGTGGACCTTCGTTTCTTTTCGCTGTTCGATCTGTTCTGTGTATCCCTGCGAGTGGCCCACCGGCACGCTCATTGAGGGGCTTCTGTGGGTAGAGGCTGCTTCGTTAACATTCGGCCCCGTCTACCCCAAGGTGTTTTCCCGCCCTGGGTACAAGGAGCTACTGGCGGCTGACCTCACAGGGCCCCCCGTCTTGTAGAGGGCCATACACAAGCTTGCCTTAAGGCGGCAAATCAGGTGGCCTTGTGATGATGGGGATTGACGAT